ACACTTACACACTTGTCCATATTTGGGATGTTGTAATCAAAAATTCCACTAACCAGTTGTAATTATAATCACTTTTAAACACCTACACTCGTTTATAAATACCACATCTAGTTTACTTTTCAAATCCTTGATCCACGCAAATAAGCCCTTTACATTCAACATGTTAAGTTACCGCGAGTGTCTTTTTGACAGCTAAAAAATGTGCGTCCTTTAAAACAACAATTTGGAAGGATAACATTTCGGGTGACAGACAACTCTGGTACTGTTATTCCGCACTTTCATTTCCGCAGAGAACGTGATAAATAGAAGGACTTTTAAATCATGGAGATAATAATAAAATGCTTTACTAACTTTTTGGTTATATAGCTATTGAAAAAAAAGTATTATGAAGGAAGGTATGAAACAGAAACATTCGAAAGTTCTACTAGGTACTCTTTATCCTTCTGGGAATGAATTGATCCTTTTTGCGGCGAAAAATAACATTAGTTTAGGGGCAGACTGTCTTAACAAGTGGCATGTGCTACGACCTATCCCAAGATCATTTCATTCAATTTGGAAATTTTCTATAATTTTGTGTTCCTTAGGTACATATTTTTCACTCACTTTTCTACTTATAAGACAACTGACGAAAAGTGACAATACATATCTGTAAGTAAGTTTACGATAAGAGGCGTAAAGCAAAATTATTTGTTCCTTCAGAACACATGTGGTCTTCGATATTCTCATCAAAAATGTATCAAGAAACGTCAAATGTCTATATCTCACCTCCCTGTTGTATGTCAGTCAACACACCTTCGACACTAGAAACTTGCGCTGTTCATATAAAACATTTGCATCAAAGAAAAATATGTTCAGATAAAGTAAATAAAAAATCTGTATCGGGAATAGTAAAACATTGGTAAAATCGACTTTTTCGAAACACGTTTGCCTACGTTGGCGTCAGAATATGTTTGTACATGAGTGTTACATGATAATATTGTTCACTCATACCACAATCCACATAGAAACTCAGATTGTTTACACAATGAGTAGTACCTCCTAACAGACCACTTGTTAACAAATGAAGATGAATTGAACGCTTTCATCTCTAAACCATTGAACTGATTTAAATGAGATTATTTTCCATGGAGATAGTGTTTTCCATTTTGCAAAAACAAAATATATTTTTGAATAGTTTTCGCTTTATTTTCATGTAAAAAAGTTTGCATTATTAAAATTTTGTCTCTGTGTATAACGAGATGCAAAACAGCCAGTTTGGGAGCAGACCGCTGTCATAAAATATAACACCATAACACTACACCCTTAGAAAAGCCTATAAAAAGGCTATATGCTACTTGAAGGGATATATGAACCCATACAAGTTCCCATGTGACCACTGAACTCTTAAGTGTTATGGACACTGTCTAAGAATACCACCAAGGATCCTTCAAAAGACGTTCTTTATATACACAGCAATGTTTCCCTGGGTCAGGGATTGTCATGCAATTAAGTAGACTTCCAGTAATGATATACATCTATATATAAAAGTTGCTTCTTTAGTTAGCTTCGTACCTACATAAAGTGGGACAAAGGGCTCCCTTAATCATGGCAAATTAAATATATTTCGGAAGGGTAGAGCCGCGGGCACTGTGTGCTATAAACCCTCCACAGATGTACCTACGGTTAAAAGAGTATTGTATTTTTGTGACATACGCTATAAGTTACTTCTAATTTACTGTAGTAAGAAAGGTCTCGATTTTACGTTGTGGTTTTGTTAAGCTTTATCTAACAAAATCCCTGATGATTTCACAACACTGCTCAAACCTCTATATCTCATTTGAATAGCTATGTGCCAACATAACCCAAAAAATTCAAAAAACGACCGAAATTTTTTGTTCCGTTTAAAATTAAAAATAAATTCAAATGTCGCCGTCCTCGGCCCTCAACCGGAGGCTGTGAGTTCATTTTGATTCTTCAGATTAAATTAATTAAAAGGGTCTTCCTGTCTATACATACAGTCTTAAAGTGTGTTATTATATGTGGTACTTCAACCTTAAGGACCACTCTGTGCTAAAGTATAGAGGAATATTAATAGAAACGTATTCCTTTACGAGTCAACTTAACCTTCCAGACGGTCTGGTATGTCTGAAAAATTACTTCAATAAAATGGGCCTTCTTCGGAGAAAATGAACAATCTATATTCTCCTTTGTTAAGCTAATCTGTCTGGCCAATGTACATAGATACATACCTGTTTCGGAGTAATACTGGGGGAGCAATCAAGGAATGTCAATTACATAGATTGATTTCTGATCCGTGCTTCTCACTATCACCCATTAAAACCAAGCTATATACCTCTATAACGTCAAACCTTTGTTATGAATCTACTTCCGAAAACAAACCTGATCCGTTCACGCAGCGCAATAAATCGCTTTGAAATAAAAATATCATCACTTTGTGCGACTCACAAAAAAAAGGATAATATTCAGAGCACAATGCAAACTGCAAGGACGCTTGTAAAATGTTTTTCTCTACACAACAAAGCAAAATAGGTTTTGAAAAATACCTGTTTCCGCTGCTTTGACAAAGTTCTTTGTGAAGATGGGAATCCTTATTATTCCATGTCGATGCAATACATCTGTGAGGCTCGCAATATACCTGTTTACTTTGCGAATCAATAAACAGCCAACAAACAATCACTCTGGCTGCCGGGTAGCATCGCCGGCGTCGGATACACGAAGGCAAACACAATCCGGGTGAGTTGTGCGTTTACGTGTGAATGCTTTTATACATACTCGTTCAGCCTCCGGTTGCCCAGGGCCGAAACCGACGGCTGGAACGTGTGAAAAACGGGATATTGTTTGCTCAGGTTCGATAACAAAACAAATATGTAGTAAGACATATGATAACAACTATGATAGTTATCTTTAAAATTCATACCGCTGTTTCGTAATTACTTATTTAAAGTTTGGGCTTCATTACAAAATGATGGCTTACGTGAAGGGCATCTTTTAAATGAACTCTATAAGTTAACTATTTCTCTACCGCTATGAGTATTTTATTCATTGCGAACAAAAAAGTATATTCCAGGATGTTTTAGGCCTTTTTTACCCTCTAGCGATACAAAACCTGCAAGTTAGTATTACACTAATTAGAGTTCCCACAAGCGCGGTTAACATAAACATTTTTTTACAACTTATAAATGACTATAAAACTACAATTGGCATGTTTTAAGTTGCTAATTAAGCAAAAAGGTAACATGGGAATTATGTACGCAGTTTTTTGTTAACATAATAATTAAAGTATTTTGAGTAGGCAGTAATGGTAACGCTACGCTACAGTAATTTATTAAATTATCAACCGCCATCTGTCAGTTTGAAACTCGATTAAGAAACCAGCAACTAATGAGATTAGGTAAATAAATTGAAACAACTGACAACCCACCCACCGCCGACTTTACAATTCAAAGCAGTTTTAGTTTTAACTTGATGCAACTTCTTGATGTTTCGTGACAAAGTGACAGTTCATAGTATAATAAGAAGTAAATAAATAAATATGTTGGTAACAATAAAGAATTAGGTGTTAGTTTTCTAAATCGGACTCAGTAAAGAGCCATTACCGAGTTTAGGTTCGCGACTCAAAGCAATATTGTCAATTGAAATTTTCCAGGATACGATTTTTTTGTTTTGTTTTTTTTATAAACATTGTCCCACTCTAGGATTTTCTCTTGTTATGTCGTGGGTGTATTAACAAACATACAAGTTCACGTACACATAACATTCAGACCCGGAACAACAATCTATGGATCACACAAAAAGTTGTTCCGTGCGGAAATCGAAACCACGATACGTAGCGCAGCAACCAGTTGCTCAGCCACCGCGCCAACCGTGCAATCTATACTTGTACTCCATATAATAAGTTAAAAAATCCAATCACCATTTTTATCCTTATTACAAAGCAGGTAGGTAGGTTCGAAAGGTATAGGTTTGAACGTCACCAATCTCTATAACACAACAATAGACATAATACTATTTATTGTTAATATGAAGCACGATTCACGTGTACACAATAACCGTAATGGACCACACTAGTGTAACATAGTTGCATGAACGTTAAATCGTAGAGAATAATTTGATTCCAGCTCACAGCAACTATTCAATAAATCTCAATGTGAAATACACCCGAGGTACTAATCTGCTGCCACTGGACTGATGAATATGGATAGCATAATCAACAGAACGTTTTTATTGGGCTTTAGGATTTTATTGACGTCCTGTTTTAACAATACGATACAAATTACGTTATGTAACCGTCTGTGTGTATATACACGGGTTTTATAATAAACGTAGAACTTTCCATGATAACACCGATGTGTTTCTTCTGAAAAATTCATCGCTATCAACCATAAGACGTCCACCGCTAAACACAGGCTTTAAAACACAACGCAAGTCTCTAGTAACTCATAAGTTACCATTCCTCTCATAGCTGTATTGAGGCCACTTACCTACTAACTACTCAAATGATCTCAAGAAAACCATGGATGGTAATAGATTGGCTTTTCATAACGACCAACCACAACCTATCGAAAATGATTCTGTTGCACATTAAAAATTAAAAGATAGATGTTAATTTAAAAAAAAAATAACAATCAATTGTCGAACACAACGAGATACTCGTATATGAATACTTAATTAATTATAGCTTATAATTACAAACGTTACAAGAATAATGTCTGTAATATAATACTTAATACAGAAAGGGTCGAGAATCATTACAAGGAAACAAAATAATTTACAATGGCTTCGGACCAAGGGAAGGGAAAACGTATCGTGTTTCAAATGCAAATGCAAAATCATTACGACCTTCCTTCATTTCAAAACGTTTAAAATAAAAAAGAAACACTGGTTTATCTTTTTCATTTAAGTATAGCATTTGTATAAAACTAGCTTCTGTCACCGGCTTCGCTTACGTTGGATATAAGTAACCAATGTGTTAATCCAGACCAAAATCTAACCCTTTTATGGTATAAGGCGGTAAACGAGCTGACGTATCTCCTGATAGTAAGCAATCGCCGCCTGAAACACCAGAGGTGTTACAAGTGCGTTACCGCCCTTTGGAGGATTAGAAATATGAGGATTATTGGGGATACGGGGATTGGAGAGTTTAGGGATTTACGACGGAACACAACGCGAGTATTGTTTCACGTCAATTTTCTGTAATTCCGTGGTTATCATTCCGGTTGAGCCGGCCCGTTCGTCCGAAGCATGGCGCTCTCACACTTCCCCTATTCCCATCCCGATCCATTCAGATTTGACGTAATTGAGTAACAAATCCTTACTAATATTATAAATCTGTAAGTGAGTTTGTTTGTTTGTTCCACCTTCACGCCGTAACTACTCAACCGATTGCTTTGAATTTTTGCAGACGTAAAGTTAGAAGTCCAGATTAAATAATAGGGTACTTTTTAACCTGGAAAAAAATGATATTCCCGAGGAAAAACAAAAGTATTAGGTATAGATGGCGCTGTGTGTAGTGGCATATGTCACATAGGCTACTTCTTATTCTTTTGTGACGCGAGCGAAGCCGCGGGTAAAAGCTAGTATACACATAAACACAAAATGACACAAACTTTGACATTTTCAATATAAGTAAGATATCTTCATCACAATGTCCTAGAGCAGTAAATGATGTAACACTTCATACCAATTACGTCGTGTTACATGTTAATATAACATTTGGAACGATTTGAAAGTATTTTCAAACATCAGGAATAAATTTAAATTCTTTGTTATTGCTGAACATATTTACAATAACTATGGCCCTCACATCTGTGTAATAAAATTCTTCTTAGTAAACATTAAATAGTTAGTTGCCGCATCTAATAAATGGATTTATTTACCTAGTACCTACTTAATCATATTCTAATAATGTCGCACAAGGTTCCTCTGAATGGTGTATTCATAAGAAGAAACTATTCATGATCTAATAGATGCTATGAATATTCCAGTAGTTTATGAGTTAGTTAATTTATATATTAGGTACTAAATATAATAGTTCATTATAATAAAGTACAAGTAATAGTATCTTATGAAGCAAAAATACGTACAAAATAATATAGACCCTTATATTACATCTTTAGTTTTCTTTTTCATTGACAGACAGTAAGACTGTTGTAAGATATTGTTTTTTATATCATTTCAGCTCCGATGAAGCTGAAACAAAGTATGTTTAAAAAAAACAACATTTTGAAGTACTCATTGGTCTAAAATCCAATTTAACTTATCTATGACGTGCAATAGATTGGTTTAGGATCTTTTAAGCCTCGGTATGAGTGAAGGCACACGAATCAACCAATCAATCAGCTGATATATTTTCTCAACGGTTTACTAAGGTTTATCCAACCATGGAGGTTTTATTTACAAAGTTTTCCCAACTCACATAGTGTTATGGTAAGAAATAACCTTTTATTACCAAAAAGATTTATGCTCCAAGGTAATGCGGAGTCAATATCAACTTTGTTTTGTAGTCGATGAGGTATAATTTACAATGTAAACAAGTGTAGGCAAGTAAGAAAGTTTTTGATATATAGGAAGATGTTACGCATTAGAAGTACATTTCTAACTAAGCTAAATTAAACCCAAAGGACTTTAGAAATAAATCTCCTATTTAGTTGTATTTACCGAATCTTGCCGCAAGAAGAACAAAGCTAATGTAAGAAACTAGTAAACGTTTTCCTCGGCAAGGTATTGGATTGGTAATGAACTAAAAATAAAAATGTGATGTTAGCTTCAAAATATGTATTCAATTAACCATCCAAAAAAAGAAAAAGCACCATTAATCGTAATTCAAAATTGGAAACATTAGACACTGTATAAAAAGTGTCAAAGTAATTTGTTTTCAATTGGCCGTTAGATTTTTTTACACACCACACAAGAATTCGATTAATCTCGTATAATCTTATGACATGCGCTTATCTTTCGTATATTAAATCATTGCTAATTCCAATGTACCTATTCATTCTAATTCTATATGTATATTATTAATTTATCTATTGACTAAGACGTAGACTTAATTATTGCTTAGATACAAATATTCTTTGATTTCTTTTCATCAGACAATTTTCTTTTACTCTGTGATATTATAATTATAATATAATAGAATATTTTACTTGTCATGTCATCAGTCGTTATACGCATAGTAGAAGTAAGTATTAACTTTATTATAAAGTCATTACATTACTCATATAGTACGTAGGTCATAATGGAATGGAATGGAATGGAACTTTGTCTGATCTCCACAATGAGCTGATTGGATTATATGCCCCAAATAACTACATACGCGTTCGTAAGCACCGTCTACTATCCGTGCCCGCAAGTCGTACCATGGCCTGGGCATTGTCCCCCATTCCTCGCGTCCTGTCCGCGCTCAATAGCCTCATTGAAGCCTATCCCGACTGTGACCTATTCATAGACGAGCTTAAAACTATTAGAAATGTTTGTCTCAGTTTTTGTGAAAGCCTTTAAAGTCTGTAGGTATATAAATCTGTGTGAAAGTGTAGATATAATAGTGTAGATATGTAATTAAATGTTTTGTTTTTATTTTATTGTCATGTAGGTATATTTTTGTTTGTCTTCTACTATTGTAACTGTTTGATTTTCTTATGCTTTTTATTTTTTTTGTATCATGTTTATTTGTGTATCTTTTCTTATTTTCCTGATATTGTAACTTTTTTTATCACGATTATGACGATTATGACGCAAGTGCGACTGTCGGGCATGGGGTCTCGGGTTCGATTCCCGGGTCGGGCAAAGTATCTCTGGGTTTTTAAAAAATTCTCAGTAGTAACTCGATGTCTGGAATTGTGCCCGGTATATGGCAATAGGCTCACTCCCTATTACATGCCAGTTATAACATAAATAGTGAAAATTGGGTGTTACATTGTACAGTAGCATAATGCACACCTCTGCCTACCCCTTCGGGGACAAAAGGCGTGTTATGTTATGTTATTATTTTTAATTTCTCTTTGTGTGTATTTTAATGTAATTGATGTAAACCCGTGTTAACATAGCAATAATAAACAAATAAATTTAACATTGCGATACATCCAAATACGAGTTGGTATAAATAACTAAAGCTTAAAGCTTTATTACTAAACCTATTTATTGATTCAAATATCACTAAATACAATGTATTCGGCTAATCCGATTATATTCTGTAAACACATCTTTCACCTTATCTTCGACATTTAATTTAATAGGGTGCACTCCAGCATCAATGGTAGGAAATAACTATGAATAGATAACTAGAAATAGGATAGTAAGAAATACTATGTATAAATAACTATCTAAGTATAGATCTATGCATTTACCAATTGGATACTTCGATTATAAATTATTTCGACTGTTACAATAAAATATTAAAAAATAATCACACTAGGTATCATAAATTGTTTTTATGACCAACTTAACTTTAGTATATTTCCATCAAATTTTTAAGAAATAAGTAATATGCTGTTTGACGCTATAAAATGTGACGTCACAATACACAATCTCGTACAACGTTCATAGAAAAATATCGTATAAAGTTTTATACATACATTACATACATATGTACATACATAACTTCACGCCTGTCTCCCATGGGGGTAGGCAGAGACTAGGGAACGCCAATTACTACGATTCCTACATACCTCTTTCGCTTCATCAACAGTCATCAATCCTTTCATGCATGCTCTTTCAGTTTTAGACAGATTGAAAAAAGTATTGAATTTGACTAGTTGGCAAGTACCCAATTTAAATAAACACAAATCTATCATCTGCAACAATTTGAAACGCATTGTTATCGACCATAGAGCCATTTAAGAAGTTTGTTGTAGTACGGTTGATGCAGTGTTTATTTTGGTAACGCTCATTCGGGGCAATAATACTCCACGTAAATAAGCCCCAAATCCTAATTTAACGAACACGAGCATTCCCGTGCTCAGTGATGTGATTGTTCTCAAGAGATTTGAATTGCGAATGCAAAATTTCATTTTGTGCTGACATAATCTTAAATCATTGTAAAATAATGTAATAGCACTTGCATGCAAATGTCAAACAAAAAGTTGGATTCATGGGATTCCACTCATTTATAATTTTTTCGTTAATTAGGACCCAAATCGTTACCGAAAGTTTAGACGAGGTACCTACATATTCTTACAAATAAATACCTGATTAGCGGGTTAGGTACACATATCTACGAAATAATGAATTGTACCTAAATCATTATATATTATATATTTAGCATATCGATGTCCTTAATGCATAACAAAACAACATTTTTAAATGTTGAATTAATTACATTTTATGAGGAAAATCTATTCAAACAGGACTTAAACCAGTCAATTTATAATAAAAAAGTGAATTCACATGAACGAATTGGACCAGTTTCTTATGCAATGATTAAATCAACGGATAACAAAATAAAATATGTTATAATTAAATTAAAAAATTATAGCTTATAAAAAACTTATGACCTTACCGGTATGTATACCTACATAAAACCTAGAATTTATTAGAAGCAAGTTCACCTGACCTTTTATCATAGGTATTAATAGAAATTAATTACATAAAAATATTAACTTATTAAATATGTGATTCATTTGTGCGCACATGTACGAACTAATAAACGGCTGGACCAATTTTGATGGACGTTTTATTATCATTAAATGTGGCTTATGTAAAATTTCTGGAAACACAGTACATACTATAATGCGAGGCCTCGTTTTAAAAATGGTACCAAGCAAATAAATTGTGTAAATGCGAATTTAACACTAAATTTCTAATTTTATCTAATACTAAAGAAATATCTTTAGTATATTTCTTTAGTATTTCTTTATTCTAACTACTTCTATTTACTCTTACTACTATAAAAACTAAAGAAATATATAATTTCTTAAAGGGTTGTATTTAAATATGTATTTACTTATTTAGTGTTTCACTTTGTGTTTACAATGAAAGAATATTATTTTTCAGAAAGATGTCAATAAAAATTCAGTTCAATGGTAATTTAGACAGAATACTTATATAAGAATATTTTAACACTATTCTGTTATAATTATTCTTGCTGATATATTACGGATTAAAATTAAGACCGTACGGTACCTACTCAATCCATAGCACCACTCGG